CGCGGTAGGTAGTACTGGACGTACTGTGTACTGATGTAGTAGTCGTAAGTATGTAGTTGTGTACTGAGCTTAATTTAGCGTAGCGCTCACGCGGTAGGTATATGAGTACTGTGTACTGATTGTAGGCATATAAGTCCTGTGTACTGATAGTAGGTATATAAGTACTGTGTACTGAGTTTAATTTAGCGTATCGCGCACGCGGTAGGTATATGAGTACTGTGTACTGATGATAGGCATATAAGTACTGTGTACTGAATTTAATTTAGCGTAGCGCGCACGCGGTAGGTATATAAGTACTGTGTACTGAGCTTAATTTTGCGTAGCGCGCACGCGGTAGGTATATGAGTACTGTGTACTGATGGTAGGTATATAAGTACTGTGTACTGAACTTAATTTTGCATAGCGCGCACACGGTAGTTATATAAGTACTGTGTACTGAGTTTACTTTAGCGTAACGCGTACGCGGTAGGTATATAAGTACTGTGTACTGATGGTAAGTATATAAGTACTGTCTACTGAACATAATTTTGCATAGCGCGCACACGGTAGGTATATAAGTACTGTGTACTGAGTTTACTTTAGCGTAGCGCGCACGCGGTAGGTATATAAGTACTGTGTACGGATGGTAGATATATAAGTGCTGTGTACTGAGTTTAATTTGGCGTAGCGAGCACGCGGTACAAGGTGTATACACGGGAGATGAACTTCACGTTGGACTTCAAGTAGTGTTTTGTGTATAAGCCAATCGTACTGTACTACGGTATATCGGAGATTGCGTGCGGTGAAGCCCTCCTCGCACAGACTCCGCCGGGATTCGATCATTTTATGTATCCGGGTATCTACCGTATCATAGCTCCTAAAACTAGACACAGTGACTCCCAGTGTGGGGGTGGCTGATTTTTTGGTACTGAATTGTAGTACGGTCATTTCTGCCTCTATTTAATGCGACGCAACGTATTGGAATGCGTACGCAGGCCAGTAAGAGAGCATTTAAAGAATACATCAGACTATATAGTAGAATGAATTTGCAGGCTTTATTGGACGGGATAGAACCATGCATCTACAGGATTCATTGTTTGTTGAGTGTCTACGGCTTCGTTCCCACTAGTTTTCATCCTCTTACAAGAAGACACATATGAGTCATCCGTGTCTCCTAATTTTCTACCAGCCTTCTGTCGTGGAACAGCGAGGACTGGGCGTGTGTGTGTGGGCAGGTGTGTTTGTATGTCCCCACCTCTGTTCTCCGGGCCTTTTGTAGCGGCTATTTTAGATTTGCCATTGAGTTTGGCGATACTGGCGGTCTTTGTGCAACTACCTGAGTTGAGACGTGTACTGGCTGCGAGCGGTGTTATCCTCTTCCTCTCATCGTCTGCTGCTTTCCCAGTACAGTTGTGCTTTGAAACGGACAGACGTGCTCCTTTGCGTGTTCTGGCAATGAGCTTTGTGCCGTTTGACGGCGGCTTATTCTCATCCTGTGGTATGATTAGGCAGTATCGACATCAGGTCAATGTGACCCAAATCCCTCTCCAGGGCGCGAGGCGCAAAATGTACACTAAGGAATTACTACTACATATTCCCAGCGAGAATTACAACTGCAAATGTGGCTACAAATCACCAGAGAGTAGGTAAAGCGGTGCTGGTTGGTATGAGAGAGCGCAAAGCAATCTCGAAGGCAGGCTTGATATCTACATTGTGATTAGTATGCGCATGGGATGAACCGGTGCACGTGCTGGACAGCAGAGAGTGAAATGGCCCAGGATACATACCCCAACGGTTGATGCTGCTTGCGGCTTACAGGCAGCAGATTGCAAGGGTTGGAAGAAACTCCGTATGTCTCTGTTTGCTTTGGATTTCCTACGTGTTGAATTAAAATAAACGTATCATTAGTTCTGATGGCGATCTAGTATACGAATACATATACCCATGTGGCTATACATATGCCTGCTCTGCATCTTGAGTATTCACACGCGAATGCCCGCCCCTATTTGAATTCCAGGTCAGCTGAAAACATTTATTCAGTCTCAAATGATGATCTTCGTCCAGAATATCTACTTCAACATTATCCCGTACTCTTATTGCTAATGGTGGTGCCAGTTACGATTCGTATTGCAAACCCAGCTACATATAGCTTGATTGCTCGTTCATTAAACTGCAGCTCAGCCTTACAATCACACAGGCCAGCAGTCATCTGTCACATAAGAAGATCTTATGTGATGACAAACGGAAGGAGCTTGCAAAGCAACCTGTCGATGAGTTGCTAAAGGTACACACATACAGATGACAGGCGACACACCACGCACACGTACACCCGGCATCTAGTAAAAACCCACCCTCGTACACATCGCACTATAAATATGACTACACTACAGACTAAAGACTACAGATCCGAACATGCCTACCTAAAGGGGATCGCATTGATATGCACCCGTGTCCGCTCCCACACTTCCTTGCCACTCTCCACGCGCATCTCAATCGTCGATCCCTCTGCCAGTTGATGCAGCGTCGCCCCACTTGCCTTAAGCGTGCTGCGTGTTTTTTTAGTCCCCGAAATCCCACTCATTTTAGCCGCTGTTTCAGTGGTGTCCGCATGGGCTGGGGTGGTCACAGTGGGTGTGAGTGACTTTGATATTCTCCGCCGATCTACCTGTGAGTCGCCTCGGCATTGTTTGGGTGTCGGTGTGTGTGCTACTGTGCCTTCCTGGCACGCATTCGCATTTTGGCCACCTGTGACGTGATGCCTTACCTGTGTGCTCACGCATTCTGCTGGTTGTCCATTATCTGTTTGTGTGGACACTGCTGAAGTTCGAGTACTTGTGTGTGGGCGGCTTTCTATTGGTTTGCCCCGTTTGCATTCTGATCGCTCGCTTATCCTTCCAGCTACGCTTACATGAAGCTTCGAACACGCCAAGGGCGTATCGCTAGGCACCACAATTTTGCGAGTGTGTGTGGGCATATTAATAGGTATGCTGATGCCCTGCTGGGTTGGTGCTGCGCATGTACACGAGCTTTTGTCCTTCTTCCAGTACATACGTCTGGCTAAATTGCCACTTGCAATTGCATATACGATAGAATCGTCCCGCAATTTGGCTGCGTTCAGTGCATCGCACTCCGCTAGCACGTGGGTTGCCTTTCCTGTATCCGTGCGTATGAACACGTTATCTGATCCTGGGCTCCCACCACAACTAAGAGATCGAGGCGAATCAAGCTGTTTGCTGCGTCGTTTAGCAGAGTTTTCCGAGCGTGTACGTGCCTTCCAATCCTTTTCACTGTATTTCTGGCGTGCGCTCATCTTATCTCGTATATCATATTTAACGTTCCCATTGCTATCATAGCCACTGCCTCCAACAACTACATCACCACCACTGGCTTCATATCCGGCTCTGTGGGATGTGACCGGGGCAGAGCCACGGTCAGATGTGCTCCATACTCGCACATAGCCTTCGTCCGAACAGACGGCCATCTATATGTGAAATGTCGTTGATTTCTCATGAGGGTGTTGTATACGTATATAAATTGATAGCCACACAGCCATAGGGAATATCTAATTGCATGCTGGTATACTATATA